GAAGACTGCACACCGTGTTCCCTTTTCCCACCTTTGCTAAGCAAAGGGTGCGTGAAGAGGGAAGAGGGCTCCCTTCTGGAGCCCTCTTGTATGCTAGGCCATGTCCCCGGCGGTTCTCTGGCTGTTAAAGGGGAAGGCCCTCCAGAGGGGGGTACCGGTACGCCGGCGTGGCCACAACGTGGTCAGACGTGTGGGTCTGTCAGTAATGGTAGACCCACGTGGATGAGAAGTGAACCGGAGGGCACTCCCTTCCGGTCGCTGGTCGTCATGTCCCCGGCTGCCTCTTGGTGGCTACAGGGGAAGGCCCTCCAGAGGGGGGTACCGGTTTACCGGCGTGGCTTCGTAGAAGCATACCGTAATCCCTACCGAGTAGGAGGCGGGGGCCGCTGCCTAGCAGGGGCCGCGAGGATGCGAACCTCTATAAAAAATGCCCTAATCTTAAGCTTGTGACGTGTCCGGTGATGAGATGAGTGGCTGGAGGGAGTCCAGTCGTGAGGACCGTCCCAGGGGACCGACCCCTGGTTAAATAAAAAGGAACAAATATAATGATGGCAAACTTAAAACAAAAATTACCCCAGGAGGGTACCACCTTAGGTGGAGAATCCCTCCGTGCTTCCACCTCGGTGGGAGCACGCTGCCCCGCGTATTCTGGGGGGGGCAAAGAATGCCATGATGAAGGGGGCTGTGCGACGGGCAGCGGAAAACCCGTCGAACCGAGGTGTGCCAGCGCTGGCTCGACGCGTTCTGCGCTCGTCAGCGACGGCGAAACAGTTGATCCGAAAGGGACAGCCGCCAAGAAGATCAGGCGGAAGAGGAAATCCTGGCGAGTTTCCTCTCGTGAGGGGGTAGGGGAGCCAGCATCGTCCTCTGGTGCGGATGCCCCGCCGGAGAAAGTGCTGGTAGTCTCCGATGCGGCATCTGCTGCGGAGGAGATGCCGCCCCCTAAAGGAAGACCCGCCCGTAGAAGGGGCGCGCCGTCACCGGCGCCATCATCAGTGTCGATGTCTGTCGCCTCACTGGACGGGCAGACGACGGAGGAGGAAGAGGGTGGCCTTCAGGACCCTGCCTTGGTCATAGACAGGGCCATGAAGACCATCAAAACCTATGCGGCCAACGGCACCAAGACCAAAGCCGCTGGCCGTAAACTGCGAGAAGTGGTCTCGCAAGTCTCGAAGGTTCTGCCTTCGGTTGCTTCTGCCAATGACCAGGTAGTGCAGCTGAGGGCGGAGAATTCGAGGCTTCGAGCACAGCTTCAAGCACAGCAGCAGCCCAATGATGGCGCAGCGACGCCTTGGGTCGCTGGAGCCCCTCGAGGTCCCCGTCCCCCGGCGCTGACTGGCGACCGATGGCCTGTGCTGCCGCCACCGCGTGTGGCACAGCAGAGGCCGCGTCTCCCGTCGCCGCGCTCTAGGGAGACGACCGCTGCCGAGCGACAGCAAGCACTCGCGGGGCCACGGATGTTGGCTCCGCTACAACCAACAAACTTCAGCCTGGAAGAGGTCATCAGCCGCACCATCCAGGCTGTAATAGAAAGGCTGGGCGGCAGGTTGGCGGCTCTCGAGGCGAAAGTCCCTACCTCGGCTGACGCTAGGCNATGCAACATTTCGTAATAATGTTTCATTCAGTGTCGTGCGTACAAAAAAATATCTGACTCGGGCAATGGGAAGACGTGATAATAAATGAGGGGCTTAGTTCGAAGCGCACCCCTTCGACGTTGTGAGCATAATTATCGGTATCTTTGAATATTGTTAAAATACATTCACGCGTTTCGGCCTGCATAGAAACTTTACAAAGGATGTGTATAATTAACCGGAACGACCGGTGGCGGTCCCATCAATTAATTTAACTACGAGCATTTAATTTGTTTATTGAATTCATTTTTTTTTTTTTTTTTTTTATTGCTTAGATGTGTGGACGAGCTCACAGCCCACCTGGTCTTAAGTGGTTACTGGAGCCCATAGACATCTACAACGTAAATGCGCCACACACCTTGAGATATAGTTCTAAGGGCTCAGTATAGTCACAACGGCTGCGCCACCCTTCAAACCGAAACGCATTACTGCTTCACGGCAGAAATAGGCGGGGCGGTGGTACCTACCGTGCGGACTCACAAGAGGTCCTACCACCAGTAAAAACCGTGTAGTGTTATTGGAATTGAATCTAGTAGATTCTAAAGTTTCAGCGACAATTCACAGTCTCATGTCCTGGTTTACTGCACTAGTGCCATGTAACTCTAGCAGTAGTCATTGGCTTAAAAACGATTCGTATCGGAACTACCCACTCGTCATGACAGATCCATTATTGCGATCGAAGTTTCACTTGAGACTTGCACTTGCCTTAATTTCTTGCAATAGCTTGTTACGTGTCGTATTTCCGCTAGTAAATGCCATGTGATAAGTCGAGAGTCAACTGGGCAACATGAGCCAGAACGTAAGATGTGAAGATTTCTTCGTGGCTCAGATCTTCCATCGAGGTAGCAGACGTTATTACACGACTTGCGTATGCTGCATTCACGCTTTTGTGGCTTACCATTGCTTAAATTGATAAGCGTCGCAGCAAGAATTTTGCATAACGAGCGAGAAATAAGTCGCAAATGCCTCCATGTGACACTTACCTGTGAAATCCGCGACAACATGATAAGGCACCGCCTTTCAGGGCCCCACTGAAGACTACAATGAGCTATGCACCATCCAGTAGACGTTCATCGAGGTACATATCAACCGTAGCGCACCAAGCACGTGGATCGGCATCTGTCTGTTCCCGATGAATTTTCGACCCGTGATCTCAGATACCGTTACTGGTATTCTGATCTGCATCATGTTTTTTCGCTGTACTTCGAACATGCTAAAACACGTCACGCCAGTGAGAGTAGAGTCCTGATCCCACTTCTGATGTCGGCGGCGGCGCCAAGGATGGCTAAGCGGTAGTTTCCGTCATCACTCGTATTTGGTTGAACTCAGTTTATAAAAAGTCAATAAAACCTTTTGAATAATAATTATTGAAACTCAACACACACAACTTTCACAATGACAGGATAAACCGACAGTTTCGTTGCACATACCGACAGACCGACTGACTGACTGACTGACAGCCAGAGACTTACTGACTGAGACGGACGGAATGACTGTCTGACATATTGGACCAGGTCAGATAAATAAGATCTAAATATGCATGTAGAGTGACATTTTTTTTAAGAAAGTAAGCACGTATCAAAACGTAAACAAATAAATTCGTATTAGTAAAAACAACCAGAACATTTGACAAATTTGCTTTTTATGATATTGAGAATCTCTTCAAACGGATAGTACTGTAATGCTCTGTGTACCAGTAAGCAGTTATTCCTTCCTAATAAGTGTCAATCTGCCCGCTTAGAAAGAAAAAAAAACATTTTCGTGTGGAGACAATCATTGAAGTGATCGTGGTCTAAAGGATAAGATAGCCAGTATACTCGTGTCGAGCGATGCGACTATGCCAATGTTCGAATCCTGCTGAAAGGGACCGATTTTTCTAATTTAATAGGAACTTACTCATGTTCATGGTTGACGGACAGGTCGGGGAGAACGATATACCTACTCATGTTCACGTATAAGCTCCACGATGAAGGAACAAAATCTTGTAATAAAAAACGAAACTGCAAAAAATATGTAAAACTATGTGTAGATGAATGTGAATGTGATGTGTGAAGTATATGTAATTTCTATATAACTGGGACATGGACCTTAAGTATTAAGATGATTGGCAGCATTCACATCTCTAAGTCCGGTAGCAACTTAACATCAGAGCTCTTCATCCCTTCTAAGAAATAAAACAATTATTTAAAAAGATAAAAATCTCAAGCTAGTATAATTTCCAAAAATCCCCTTGCGCAGAAAAGTAAGTAAATTCGTATTTTACTTTTCACTTTACAAAAACTGAGATCCAACCCAAATAAAGAGTTCGAGGATGGATGACGGATTGGACTATCAAATCACTAATTTACATTATTACGAGTAATCATAATTTGCGTAATTACTGGTGGTAGGACCTCTTGTGAGTCCGCACGGGTAGGCCCCTCCTATTTTTGCTGTGAAGCAGTAATGCGTTTCGGTTTGAAGGGTGCGGGCAGCCGTTGTAACTATACTTGAGACCTTAGAACCTATATCTTAAGATGGGTGGCGCATTTACGTTGTCTATGGCCTCCAGTAACCAATTAACACCAGGTGGGCTGTGAGCTCGTCCACCCATCTAAGCAATAAATAAAAAAAAACAATATTGTTCATCAAGTTTAGCATTAAATAATAGA